ATGTGTCTTTCCTAGTGCTTGATATGATTCTTGAAATTAATGAATTTGATTATTAGAATTTGTGTACCTTGATTATATTCATGCTATTTGATGATGCATACATTGATATATGACTAAAGTTGCATTATTTAGTAGTTGATGTCCAATTTAAACTTCGTTAAATGAAGAAATATCAAATTTAGATGCATTGTCTTCAAAACAGCTCCAAACTTTCTGTTTGTCCAAATCAAGGCCAGTAGAGCCGGCTCAACCATTTTCACAGTCGGCTCAACCCAAAAACCCGAGAGTCTTCTCTCTCTAAAGTTAAGCCGACTAAGGATGGCAATTTTCTCCTTGACCCGCGAAGCTCCATGGAGATCCCCGCCACGGGGATGGAGATTCCAAGAATATTCTTACCCATGGGGTGGGGATGGAGGCAATTTTTTACCCGTGAAATTTCATGGGGAATTTCCTCCACCTCGTGGGAATCTATGGGGATCCGTATAAAAAAAAATTTATTTATATATATATTTAGTACATATGTTAACAATTAATTTTTATTTACCCAATTTAATTTTTTTTATTGGAATTTACCCAATTTAATTAGTTAACCCAATACCAACATAACTTAAATTTCACAATCCACTCTTTTTTCAATTTTTCCAAACCCAATTTCGGCCCAACCCAATTTTTTTTTGTTAATCTAATATTCTTAAACCTAATTACCCAGCCCAATTTATAGCCCAATTTATAGTCCAATTTAGAGCCCAATTACAGAACCCTACAAGCAGAAGGAAATCCAATATACATAACCGGTTAACCCTAGATGCAGAAGGAAATCCAATTGCCGCTTCTTGCAAATTGCTATCCCACCCTACTCCAGTCAGTCTCTTCTCCTCTGCCGCGCTGCTCACCATTGCTCACACCGCTCACCTCTAGCTCCAACTCCAGCTTTTGTTTGTTTATTTGTCTGTATGTCATCTTCTATCTTTCATTTTTGCTTCTCTTTTTTTTCTTTAATTTCTGTACTTTAGTTTGAGCATCAGCATGCATCAGTTAGCTATCACATATGTCCCATTACATTGCATAGATGGGTACCATATGCCTATGTGCATCTGATATTAAAATTTTTCATTTGGTGGTTTTGCAGCATTCGATCTTTTCAAGTAGCAACAGCTCCTAGCTTGTAAACCTGTCTTGACACCAGCATGGGTGAGTGCTTGCGATCTTTTGATTTGGTAAACCTGTTTTGATTTGGTGGTTTTGCAGCTTTCGATCTTTTTATTTTTTTATGCTTTAGTGTTTAACTAGTAATTTTCATATTTTTAATTAGTAATTTTTAATGTAATTTTTGTTCTTTAGTGCTTAATAAGTGGTTATAATCAAGTACTGTCATTGGTGGTTGAAGTCTAGCAGGGTTTTTGATAAGTCTTTTATGTAAAACTAAAAGGAATGGTCTGTTTTTATGGTGGTGCGCTTGACCTGTCTTTCTTAGGGATGTGTCTAATGATGTACTATCAATATTCCAATCCCATACAGGCACTGATGTGTCTTTAAGATTGGTTGAAGAAAGATCTGAAAGGTATTAAATTAAGGCTATATTTCTCTTATTTTCTTATTTTTGAATTTGTATTCTAAACTTTTATTATGTTTGCAATTCAGGTTCTGAAAATAATGGGAATTTCTTCAATCTATTTGAGGAGTTGGAGGAGAATGATAATGAGGAGGATGAGTTTGAGGTAAATTTTAAACAATAATGTTTTTTTTATATAAACTATTATATAAAGAAAATTTTCTAAAATTTTGTTAATTTGGGGTATTTGTGTTTATTTCAGGAAGTTATTTCTTCAACTTGAAATTATTAATCAAGCCTAGCTAAAGTTGCTGCTGTAGAGTTTGCTTTGCTGGATTGGATGGATAACTACACATGTGCCACTTTTTAGACTCTTTTATGTGCTTTTTCTTAATGAACTTATTGCTGGACATGTTGGTAGCAGTTTATGCTTTTTTTTTTCTATCAACTTTGCTGAATCTAGACATATATGATAGTTGCAATTTATGCTTTTATTTTTTATAAACCTTTTGTTGGATTTATTGGATTTATATGGCAATTTATGCATTTTTTCTTTATGAAATATGAAGTTGTTGTTGGCTTGCTTGCTGGTTCTGTTCTATGTGGTGTTTATGCTAATGGTGGTTTAGTAGCTATTAGCTAATGGTGTCTAATTAAGTGAACAGTGCTAAAGAAGTTGGCAGTGGTGCAGGGTTAGGAACTTGATAGATTGTTTGTTGGTGGATTTCAGTTGCCACTTGTCAATGTTAAATGTCATTTTCTTGATCAACCCAAACCCAAACCCCAATACAATGTTAAATGTTAAAGTGAAATAGCAGTGAAAATGTTGATTAATAAGTAGTGAAAATTTTGATTAACAAGCAGTAAAATATGTGATAGTTTTATTTGGTGGGGACTCCGAATACTCGTGGGGACCTATTATTCCCTGCGGAGATGGGGACGGAGGTAATTTTTGACCCTCTGCCAAAAATCCCCGTGGGGATCCCCGTACCCGTCATTGGCGGGGATGGGGAGGGGGTCCTCGCCCCCTTGGGGACCCGTTACCATCCCTAAAGCCGGCTCCAGGACTAGAGCCGGCTCTCATGCAGCTTTTTAAATATTTAGGTTTCTTTCTCCTCGCACAAACCAGCCCAGCCTTGGCATGACTTTTGGTATTAATTGTCTATGATTTTGCTGATTATATGCTCTTATTGAGGGGGAGTTTATTGGTTGATGATTGTATTCATGACTTTGGTTGTCTATGGTGCTATATTGATGATGATTTATGATTATATTCATTACATATTCTTGATGATTTAAAGGTTGATAGCATGAATTAAGGGGGAGTTTATTGCTTATGTTTATATACTTTTTGATGAATGATAAAAAGGGGGAGAAAGTATGCTGAATTCTCATAATTTTCTAGAATGTCTTAATGTCATTTTCTTGGTGCTGAAATTTTGAGGTTAATATTGAAATATATATGCTTTCATGATCAAAGTGTTTTGTCATCATCAAAAAGGGGGAGATTGTTGTACCTATGATTTTGATGATTACAAAACACATTTGAGTGATTAATTGATTTATTTAAGTGTGTAGTTAAATTGCCAATATACTGCAAAGTAAGCAAAATGAGATTGCATTAAAAATGGCTCAAAGGGTAAACATGTGCAGAGAGCCGGCTTAATAAAATTGCAGCAGGCTCTGGGAAGCAAAAGTGCAGAGAGCCGGCTGTAGATTTTGTTGAGCCGGCTCTACGGGCCAGAAACTCAACTGCGATGTTAGCGCACGCGAAAAATGGAAGCAGAGTCGGCTCCCACTTTGTAGTCGGCTATGAGGACGCATTTAATGCACAACGGTCGACTCTTTTGAAGAATATTTAATGTATTTAAAGTTGGAGTTCCAAAGCCGGCTCAAAGTCTTGCAACCAGCTCTCGAGGAAAACAAAATGTTCAGGAATCTCGCAAAGCTGGTTGCAGAAATGGTGACCCGGCTATACAGAGCCGGCTTTAGGAAGTTAAGCCAACTCTCCTGACAGTTCTACAACTCAAGCCATGCGTCCTGCAGAGCATTTAATGACCCCCAACGGCTAGAAATGGCTATTTTCGAGCAAGGGGCTATAAATATGGTTGGTAACAGATCTAAAGAAGTTAAGAGAGCATTGTATTGAATATCTTTACCTACCAACTTGTGCTTTAACTTGAGATTTTGATCTTTGAGAGATCTTTATTTGTAATCCTCTTCTTATTCTATTTGTGAGTGATCTTGGGGGTGTGTTGATTCCTTCAAGAGTGATCTGTAGAGAGGATCTTTAGGGTTTAAGTGTAAAGGGGTGAGATTTGAGAGAAACAAGCTTCTTCTTGTAAAGGATTGAGTGGCTCCTTTAAGCCACCATTGTTTTTGTTAGTGGAGAGTGTGGAGGAAATCCTTGGTGAGTGAAGCCAAGGTAGAGGACTAGGCTCCAAGTGGTTGGACCGAACCTCTATAAAATCATTGTGCAAGCTCTTCTTCTCCATTCTCTCTTTAATTTTTGTTTGGTGGTTGCAAAGAGGCGAAAATTCTCCAACTCCAATTCACCCCCCCTCTTGGAGTGCATTGAGTCAACAATTCGAACTGAAAACAATCCATACATAATTTCTACGGCACAACAATAAGGCAGCAAAAATTTCAGAATTTACATCTGAGACCATTTTATACGAACCAAAATTGGTCCGTATATAATTTCTATGGCATGACAATAGGGCAGCAAATATTTCAGAATTTACATCTGAGTCCATTTGATACGGATCGATTACAATTTGGATATACTTTCGATCACACGACAATAGGGCAGCAAATATTTCAGAATTTAAATCTGAGTCCACTTTATACGGACCGACTTCGGTCTGGATCTACTTTCGATTGCATGACAATTGACCAGCATATATTTCAAAATTTACATCTGAGTCCACTTTATACAGACCGAAAATGCTCTGGATAAAGTTTTAAAGCCACGACAATAGGGCAGTAAATATTTCACAATTTTCATCTGAATCATTTTTATACGGACTAAAAACGGTCTGTATAGGCACTCAATGGCACGATAATAGGGCATCAAATATTTCACAATTTACATCTGAGCCCAATATGTTCAGACCGATATCGGTCTGAATATATTTTATATAGTTATTTTCCCTGATTATTCAGATCGTTTACAGTCTGTAATTATTAAATTATTTATTATATTCTTTATGTCTGGATCAGTAACGGTCCGTAAATTTCAGTTTTATATTCACCCTTGATTTTTTTTTACCAAATTATATGGTCCGGTTTTAGTGTGAATATGTTAATTTACGGATCGATGTTTTGTCGGTCTTATATTTTATTTTTACATACCAAGTTTTTTCGGTTCAACTATACGGACCGAGATCAATCTGGATATATTTTTTCAGATCGATTTTTGAGTTATATGGACCGAATTTTTTGTCTGAATATGGCTTCCTTGCAATAGTGTATAAATCTAATAAGTCTAATCACTTCGTTAACTATAAAAAATTTAACACCATTAAATATGTCAATAAATAGAATTGATTTAATCAAAGGATTATAAGTATTACATCAATATAAAAATTGATATATATCATCTACCTAAATAAAACTTTTTAATCCAATAATTAGTTTTTGAAAATATTAATTAGAAATTAGATTTTTAGATAAGTCTTTCAAAAAAAAAAATTAGGAAGACAACTTGCACACTATCTTCATATGCATATATATTGGAAAAGTGGGTATTAATCTGTATTGTAAAAAATTAGGTAAAAAATTACCTTAAAACTATGTCATTCTAATAAAGTACAATAAAAAAGATTAAAACATCTTAATTTTTAAAACAAAAATGATGTTATTTTAATCTTTTTTTGTACTATTTTATTAAAATTGTGATGTATTTTTTACTTAATTTTTTGTAATATAAGTTGATAACCATTCATCTATATGTATATAACTAAATCGATTAAATTTAAATAATTTTCTTTACTTATTAGTTAAATTGAAACTCTATCATTCAGCTCAATATTCCTAATCTATATTAGATACCTATATTTAGTCTAGTTAGAAAGTTAGAATTGATCAATAGTAGAAAACATAGTATATTCAACAAAAAATACTGTCGATTATAGAGAAAATTATGTCGATTATAGGTATAATCAATAGATATAATCGATAGCCAAATGTGTCGAATAAACAAGGATCGAAAATAATGTAATTAGCAAAAATGTATTTTGTCGATTATACTTGTTCCAGCAATAAAAAAAAAAATTAGAATTAAAAAATGTAGAATTAAATTTTTAATTTTGTAGTTATTAATTAAATTATAAAGTCATTAAACAAAGTTCAATGATAAAATCAATCAAGTGCAACAACAATTTATATGTTATTCTTGATTTTCATGATTTAAAAACCAAATGTGAATTAGAATATATTATTTATTGAATTTATTGGAAGTTGATTTACTTGTGTTTATATGATTTATTCTTAGTAATATTGAATTAATTTTCAAATATTAAGTTTGAATGTGTTTCCTTTTGGGTAAAAGTCCATTTAATTTCATAATTATATTTCGTTGTTATGGGGAGCCAAAAACAAAAAATGCATTCTGCAATTGAGGTTCAACCCCTGGGATAGGGTTTGGAACCCTTGATGATTCTATTTTTTGAAGGTTTATGCAGAAAATTTTCCAAGTTTCAACCCCTTGTTCTGGAACATTAATTTACCTACCATATTTGGAATATATGCATTCCAAATAGGAGCTCCAATGGTAAAAACATTGATTCAACACTCTTAAGCTATGAGAACCAGATCTGGAAGAGTGGAGAAGTACGGAGAATAGTGCCTTCAAGTCGAAAAACCAAGAGTGATTAAGTTTTTACTTTGTGCTTTGTGAAATCTTTTATTTTCTTGCTCTCTTTCATTGCAACAAGTGAGAGAGAGAGTGGGGAAACCTTGTTAGATCTACTAATCCATCCTTGAGATATAGGAAAGGTTGAGAGATTTGTAACAATGGGATTAACAGTTCAATAGCACTTGCAAGCTATTGGGTAACCTTGTTAGATCTAGAGAAAACCATCCTTATGGGATAGGATTGGGTTTGTGAGAGATTGTAACAAGGGGTTGAATTATTGAAGGTGGTTAACGCCAAAAAAAACTATTGCAAACAGTTGCTCTACACTTGAAAGTTGGAGGAGAGATTAATTCTGAATTCAAAACTAACTCTTAAGCAAGCAGCTTGAGGGGTGGACTAGGCACAAATTGTGACCGAACCACTATAAATCCTTGTGTTTGACCTTTCTCCTCCTTTAACTTTTAATTTCTACACTTTAAATTAATTGTTTGCAATTGCTAGTGTTTGTTCATTGTTTTGTTTTTAAAAGTTGCATAAAGTTTTTGAAAACCCAA